CATTTTGAACTGATAACAGTGAATAGCCAAAATGTACTCCACAGGCCAATTTCTTTTCTTTTCTTTTCTTTTCTTTTCTTTTCTTTTCTTTTCTTTTCTTTTCTTTTCTTTTCTTTTCTTTTCCCTCCCCTCCCCTCCCTTCCCTTCCTTCCTTCCTTTCACAGGCCAATTTCTCTTCCTTCCTTCCTTCCTTCCTTCCTTCCTTCCTTCCTTCCTTCCTTCCTTCCTTTTTTTGAGACAGGGTCTCCCTGTAGCCCCAGCTGGCCTGGAACTCACTATGTAGACCAGGCTGTCCTTGAACTCACGGAGATCCGCCTGCCTCTGCCCTGCTGGGATTAAAGGCATGTGCCACCACAGGTCAATTTCTAGAGCATTACTTGGCCCTTACCTGAGATTTCACCTTATCACAAGGCTAATTAAAGCAAAAATGTACAAAAGTTTATGGATAAACAATAAAAAACATTAAAAAGGCAGTAGTCTGCTCTTGTGCTTATTATAAAAGCATTTTTGCTGGATGCAGTGGCACACACACACCTATAATCCCAGGACTGTAATGAATTTGAGGCCAGTCCATGCTATATAGTAAGTACCAGCCAGGGCTAGGTAACAAAACATAATAAAACCCTGTCTCAAAACAAAACCAAAAACTCAAAACAAAATAAACAAACCACAAAGCATTAAAAAAATTTCCCTGTTAGCATATTAATTTCATAACTACAATTTTAAGTATTATTAAAAAGTTCTGGGGCTGGAGAAATGGCTCACTGGATAAGAGCACTGACTGCTCTTGCAGAGGACCCAGGTTCAATTCCCAGCACCCACATGGCCAGCTAACAACTGTTTGTAAGTCCAGTTTCAGGGGATTCAATGTCCTCTTATGACCTCCACGGGTGCACTTACATGCATGTAGGCAATACACTCATACATATAAAAGAAAACAAAAATAAGAAAAATGAAAAAAAGTCCTAAAAAAGATTCACACACATAACAAATATAGCAAAGTTAAACTTTTTACCTATACATGGGTATTTATGTTGCTTCTAATTAAAAACAAATTTAAGCTATTATTTTTATTTTTTGTATGTGTGAGTGTATTGTTTGCATGTATGTAAGTGCACCTGTCGTGCAATGCTCATGGAAATCAGTAGTGGGCATCAAATCCCCTGGAACTGGAATTATGGATGGTTGTTAGTTGCCATGTGAGTGCTGGAAACTGAACCTGGATCCTCTGTAAGAGTGGCCAGTGCTCTTAACCACTGAGTCATTTCTCTAGCCCTGTTGCTTCTAATTTTTGTGTTAAATTTAGGTAATGCTTCAATAAACACTTTTTTTTTTGGTGTTTTTGAGACAGGGTCTCCCTGTACCCCAGCTCTCCTGGAACTCACTATGTAGACCAGCCAGGCCTCAAACTCCACCTGTCTCTGCCTCCCAAGTGCTGGGATTAAAGGTGTGCACCACCACGCCCAGCCTCAATAAACACTTAATACACGAAAACGTGCTTTATATTTTAGATAATGTCTTTGGCCCAAAATTCCATAAAGGAAATTAAAACATTAAGGAGTCTGGGGGTGGGGCTGGAGAGATGGCTCAGCGGTTAAGAGCACTGATTGCTCTTGCAGAGGACCCGGTTTCAATTCCCAGCACCCACACAGCTATGAATCATCTTAACTCCAGTTCCAGGGGAATCCAATGCCCTCTTCTGACCTCTGTGGCACTGCATAACACAGTGTGCTCACATGCATGTGGGCAATATACTCATACAAATAAAAATAATAAATTTAAAAAATGTGGGTTTTTTTTGTCTTTTTTGAGACAGGGTCGCCCTGTAGCACCAGCTGTCCTGGAACTCACCATGAAGACCAGGCTGGCCTTGAACTCGCAGAGATCCGCCTGCCTCCGCCTCCCGAGTGCTGGGATTAAAGGTGTGCGCCACCACGCCCGGCTAAAATATTTTTTAAAAAGAAGTCTTGGAGTAACAAATATGGTGGCACATGCCTTTGGTCCCAGCACTTGGGAGGCAGCAGCAGAGGCAGAGACAGGGATCTCTGTGAGATTGAGGCCAGTCTGGTCTACACTGTGAGTTCCAGGCCAGCTGGGGGCTATAGGGAGACTCTGTTTCAAAAAACAAACAAAAAAGAAGTCTGGGGGCTGGAAGACGACTCTGAGTAACATGCTTGCTGCATAATCCTGATGACCGGAGGTTCCATCCTAGGAATCCACATAAAGGTGGAAGGGGAGAACTGAGTATGAAGTTGTCTCTGACCACCACAAGCACTCTGTGTGGTACATGAGCACCCATATGCTCATATCACACACACACACACACACACACACACACACACACACACACACACACACACACAATCATATTAGGGCATGGTGGCACACACCTTTAATCCCAGCACTTGGGAGGCAGAAGCAGGCGGATCCTCTGTGAGTTCGAGGCCAGCCTGGTCTACAGAGTGAGTTCCAGGCAGCAGGAGCTACACGGAGACCCTGTCTCAAAAAGACCACAAAAAAAAAAAAAAGAAAAGAAAAAAAGAAAAAAGAAAGTCGGAATAACTTATGGCTTTAATAGCCTCTTTAAAATTTTTTTATTATTTTTACTTTTTGTGTATTGAGTGTATTGTCTGCATGGATGTAAGTGCACCCATGTCATACAATGCCCACAGAAGTCAGAAGAGGGCATCAGATTCCCCTGAAGCTGGAGTTAAGGACAGTTGTTAGTGGGTGCTGGGAATTGAACCCAGGTTCTCTGGAAGAGCAGCCAGTGCTCTTAACCATTGAGTCATCTCACCAGTCACCTGGCTTTAATATCTTTATGAAATACTATCAATGAAATAGTTTTATATTCTAGCCACCCTTACCTCCCTCTCTCATTTTTTTTTTTTTAATTTGAGATGGAGTCTGTTCTTGTTTGGTATCTGTTGTTGTGATAAACATCATAACCAAAAACAGCGTGGGGAGGAAAGGGTTTACTTCATCTTACAACTCCAAGTAACAGTTGTCACTGAGTGAAGTCAGGACAGGAACCTGGAGGCAGGAAGTGAAGCAGAGACCATGCTTACTGGCTTACTTCCTGAGACTTACTCAGCCACTTTTCTTACACAGCCCTAGGTCCACCTGCCTAGGAAGGTAGTACCATCCACAAGGGGCCCCTGGGCCCTTCTACAACAATTAACAATCAAGAAAATGCCCCATTTTTAAAAAAAAAAAAAGGAAAAAGAAAATGCCTCATAGATATGCTCCACTGACCCAAGAGATGGAGGTTTTTTTTTTTTTTAAGAACTTAGTATGTAGTCCTGGATGGCCTAGAATTCACTATGTAGACCAGACTGGCCAAAAACTTGTGACTCTGCCTCTGCCTTCCAAGTTCTAGGACTATGCCCAGCTAGAAGCAATTCTGTTTTGTTAATATTTATTATTTTTACTTTTGTGTATGAATGTATTGCCTGCAGGTGTGTAAGTATACCTGTGTTGTGCAATGCCTGCAGAAGTCAGAAGAAGGCATCAGATTCCCCTGGAACTGGAGTTACAGATGGTTGTTAGCCTCCATGTTAGTCACTGAACTTGGGTCCTCTGCAAGAGCAGCCAGTGCTCTTACCTCCTGAGCCATCTCTTGAGCCCTGTTTTGTTTTGTTTTGAAGACAAGATCTCCCTATAGCACCAGTGGGTTTGGAACTCTAAATATGTGGATCAGGCTGACCTTGATTTCACAGAGATTTACCTGCCTCTGCTTTCTGAGTGCTGGGACTAAAAGTGTGTACCACCATGGTCCCAGTTTGGAAGATTTTAATTGAAATTCCTTCTTTTCAGGTGTGTCAAGTTGACAACCAAGATTAGCCATCACAGGGTCTCATTATGCAGCCAGGAGAAGCCTGGAACTCACCATTTTCCTATCTCAGCTTCCTGAGTGCTGGCATCACAGAAATGTGCAACCATACCTGTTGTAAGAATTGCCTTCAGGGGCTAAAAGCTGGCTCAGTGATTAGGAGCACATTGCTCTTGCAGTGGATCCGTATTCAGTTCCCAGCACCCATGTCAGGTGGCTCACAACTGCCTCTAGCTCCAGGGGATCTGATGCTCTCTTCTGGCCTCAGAGGGTACATGTATTCACATGCGTGTGTGTGCGTACGCATGAGCATACACGGCACACACACGCACACACAGAATTAAATAAATTTGAAAAAGAATCTCTTTTATTATCCATTTTACTTATGCTACCTGTTCCCTATTTATCAACTGTAGATATTATTTACTGACTTATCATAAATGAATATTTAGCTCAATTATATTACATCTTATCTTTTTTGTTAAATCAGGTGGATCTGTACTATCAAAAAATATTAACTTTTTTTTTTTAAGGTAAGATCTCACTAATGTAGTTTAGGCTGACCTAGAACTTGCTATACAGTCCAGGCTAGCCTGGAACTCATGATCTTTCTTCCTCAGCCTCCCAAGTGCTAGGTTTATATTTGACCATACCTGGTCAAATATCTTTTTCTCTGAAGTTTAGTGTTTCCTTATATTAATATTCTTAGCCTTCTCCAGATTCTAAAAGGTGTGCCTTTACTTTTACATTCCATAGTTAATAATACTTACAATTCACTTTCAAACCATAATAACATTGTATAGCCTATTCTTTTTAAAATGTGAATATTCAACTGCTTATGTAAACATTGATAACTGAAGGTCATGATTCTGATTAAGTTCTGATTATGTGTCCTTCTACCAGGTATCCATGTTATGATCCTTAAATAACTCAAAACAATATTCTTATGCCACAGTCAAGGGATTATTTTATAATTTTGATTTCAGCCTTTGTAAAAGAAAGAGAATTGTGACAAATAAAGTAATGAAATATATAATTTCCTCAAACTATGGCAAGCTCTAGTTTGTCACGAATATCAAATTTCAATGCAATATTTCCAAATCTAATATAATTATTTGATATCTGAATCCACTAACACAGTGCAAGGTTATACATAAGGCATTCCTACCTGCCAGAGCGTCCCGATAAAGCTGTACAAAGTGATTAAAGATATCCTTTGGCAAACACTTTTCATCTGGTAGACACTGCAGCAAAATGATTATCTCAGATTGACCCACGGCATGCATTCCCTTGGTTGTGAAACACCAGCACTTTCTGTTTACATCTATAGATGGAACAAAAATATAAAGATATTCTTAATCCTTGCTCCTAACAGGATGCACAGAAATCCACTAGAATACAGCAAAAAATTATGTAAGCCAATATAATTGGACTATAAACTTCTAGTTAATACATGAGCCAAAGAATCATTGCAGACAATAAAATATGTCAAAACCTTGGCTTTTTTCCCTCAATACTTGAAATTAAAAGAAATAAAAATGAAAGAAAATAAATTTAAGACTTAAATAGACCATAAGGACATAGCCCTCCACACTTATATTTTTAAAAAGCACTTGACTAGGGGCTGGGGAAACAGCTCAAGGTAAAGTGCTTGTGATGCAAGCATGAGGACCTGTATTGGGATTCCCAGTGCCCACATAAAAAGCTGAGAATGGCAGCATGTGAGTATAACCTCTGTGTGCAGTGTGGGAGGGGAACTGGGGAGGAGATACCAGGGGCTCACCAGTAAGCCAGTCTAGCCAGTCAATGAGCTCTAAGTTTAGTGAGAAACCCTGTCTCAAAAAATATGGTGGACAGCAATTGAGAAAGACACCCAACATTGACCTGTGACCTACATAAACACATCTACACTCATATACTAACACACACACACACACACACACACACACACACACACACACACATATATATATATATATATATATATATATATATATATATATATTTTCCACAGTGTGTATGTGTATGATGTGTGTATGTAAGGAAATAATTCCTTATGTAAGACTAGAAACAACAGTAATAAAAGCCAATATTAGAATTTTGGCTTCAGACTGTGCCCTAAAGAAAATAGTTTTTTTTGGTCTTTTTGAGACGGGGTCTCCCTGTAGCTCCAGCTGTCCTGGAACTCACTATGTAGACCAGGCTGGCCTTGGACTTGCAGAGATCCCCCTGCCTCTGCCTCCTGAGTGCTGGTATCAAAGGTGTGTGCCACCATGCCTGGCAAGAAAATAATTTTTATGCACTAGGTAGTTTAATTATATGCCTTCTTGGAACAAAAAACTATATAATCAGCAATGACTTTATTTGGTTTTACACTGTAAAAGATATGGCTTATCTAGACTACTTACTTTTACTTCCTCACTTTAAGGTTAGGAAGGATCCAAAAAACACAAGCTTTATACAGTCAAAATTACCATTCAATCTTTGACTCTTATCATCTGCACCGTAATACGTTTCCCACATAATTATGAACACCACTAAAGGCTGCTTTCTTTTACTTTGAAATTACTACTTTGTGTATCTAAGTAAGAAATGCCTAATCCAACTATGTGTGTGTGTGTGTGTGTGTGTGTGTGTGTGTGTGTGTGTGTATGTACATGTGCATGGGAGGTCACAGATGAATGCTGACTGTCCTTTGCAGTTGTTCTCCACCCTATTTTTTGAGACAGTGTCTCTCACTGAACCCGGAGCTTGCCAATTCAGCTAGGCTGGCTGGTGAGCAAGCTCCAGTGATCTCCTGTCTCTGCCCCTCCAGTGCTGAGATTACAGATCTGGGCCACTGCACCTGCTTGTTTTTCATCTGTGTGTTGGGGATCAAACGCAGGTCCTCATGCCATGTGGACACTTTTACCAACTTTGCTATGTCCCTAGTCCTCCAATACAACTATTTTCAGGTGGTTAAGGAATTTTAGGTTAGCTAATTTCTAAGTATAACTTAAGAAGTAGATATGGTAAATTGAAAATTCGACAAATTATGTTTAAATTTGACTCTGGAAGGAAAAATGGAAAACATTAATAATTGGCCAAACACACAAAAGTATGATTATCAAGTAAGCCAGAAACCTACAACTCATCAATGGGAAACCTCCAAGGAAGCAGCATATAGGTGTTTCTAGTTTCTGAAGTCAAGTTAAAACAGATACACAGTGGGAAATAGAGGACATTCCCCCAAAATTGACTCTTGCAGGATCAATGCATTCTCTATTTTCCAATATCATATTGGAAAGAATCAAGGTTTAAGTTACTGTCCTCTTTCTTGATCTGATGTCCATGAATCTAGCACCAAGAATTGAGAAATTTCCTCTGATAATTTATGAATATTAAAGTTTGAAAGTATACTACATAACTCACACTTTTTCCAACTAGATTCTGTACCATGATTAGAGCTTCTGGGTCTTAAAATCTAATATGTAAATGTCTGGCCCCCCTGGATAATTTATTCACCTCCAGTTATTCTGGTTGTGAGTTGTAACTTAACATACCCATCTCAAGAAGAATTTAACTCACATCACATTATTTGACTTTCCTCCGTGAAGAATTCACCTATCTCATCCCTGTGACTAAAGGCAAGAGTTTCAGTTAGTCTCACAGTTCTCCTCGATGGCACATCATTTTATATAAACCAATTTCTTCAGAACTCAATTTTCAGTAAGATGAGAATATATATAAAAAATACTTTTGTGTAACAAACATGAAAGCTTTAAAAATATCTATGTTTAAAGTACTTCATTTTAATTAAGAAATTCTAACTTACAATTTACAATTTTAACCATTGACAATAAATTTGCATTTAAAACAAATACAAGTGGATCAGGACCACCATCCTCCAGTTGTTGCATGACTGAAATCTGTGATGGTTTCTCTTCCACAGCATAATCTGTAAAGAGAGAAAATATTGTAATGGATTGGTTAATGGACACATTGATAAAGAAATCTCATGAAGAATGGCCTGATTAGTCACAGGAAAGAGATAAACATTTGACACAGGTCGTGGTTTGAACATGCTGTCACACTCTTACCTTAATAGTGCTTCTTTTTACTTTAAAAAGTGACCCAGTCTGGTTGGAATGACAATAGGCTTGTCCTATGTATAAACCTTCTCCCCAACCCCTAAAAATGGTTTGTCTCAAGTCTGAAGTCTATCTCTTTATTTAACAAGTGTTCAATTATTATAACGAGAATGTCACAGGATAAATGTTCTAAGGTCAACGTTTAAAATAATACAAAATACACACAAAAAAGTGATGATCTACTAGGAGTTACCTATTGAAAATGTCAAGGAGTTTGGATAGAGGGGAACCTTACTTTTTAAAAACTCAATATCCTGACTGCTTGATATTTTTGACACTTATAAAACATTAGACTTTAAAAAAATGGACTAAGGGGAGAGGTTAAGAGCACTGGTTGCTCTTTCAGAGGACCTGAGTTTGGTTCCCAGAATCCATATGGGTAGCTAACAACCATCTGTAACTCCAGTTCCAGGAGATCTGATGCCCTCTTCTGGCCTCCACAGGCAATGCATGTACATGATGATGCACATAAAAACAATTAATTAAAAATGGATTTTTAAAAAAATAAAAGTATCATAATTGGTTTCATTAGATAATTCCTCTAAATATATCTCAAGAACTTACAACATACATCAGTTAAATCATTAGTAAGCCACACACCAGACAAGTTAATACTCGAGACTGAATGCAATGCTTCCTCTTGCTCTGCAAGCACAGATTGTAATACTCAGCCACCTCATTTTGAATGGTGGTCATCTTAGTGTAAAGTCACAATCACAGACAGTAATCACTGTCAAATCTAATTAAAAACAAAGGAAAGGAATTGGAAATTCAAAGTTCAATGATGTTCTCATAAAATGTATCATGAGGACACAGCCAGGACAAAAAAGCAACATTATTTTCCACTGATCAAAAGAAACAAAAACTGATTTTTTTTTAGATCTAGTGGAAAATATTTATTTTCCTATCAATGAAAAAACATACTTGAAAGAAAATTAAGCAATTTTTAAAAATTTAAAGTTATACCAGTAGAATAAAAAAATTGCAAAATTCTGAAGAGATTGTAATACAAACATTATAATTAAATACACAAAAGTACTTGTTCTTTCTTGGTAGGAGACAGTTTGACAACTAGAATGAACGGATTCAAGTTTTATTAAAATAGAATCCAGCTGGACTGGAAAGATGGTTCAGTGGTTAAGAGCACTAATTGCTCTTGCAGAAGACCCAGGTTTGGTTCCCAATACCCACATGGTGGCTAACAACCATTTGTAACTCCAGTTTCAGGGGAAATCAATGCTTTCTTCTGGCGTCCACAGGCACACAGGTAAACTTACATACATGCAGGCAAAAGGCACACACACACACACACACACACACAGAGAGAGAGAGAGAGAGAGAGAGAATCCAGCAATCTGACTTCTTATAATAATAAAATAAACCATTATAATTCATTAATAAATTAACTCATTAAAATAACCAAAATTCAAACTTACACAGCAACCTTCTTAACAAAAATGTACTGTAGGGAGTCCTGGTAAAGGAACAATGTGTTACACTATCAAAAGAATGCTGAACTACCTGGGGTGCTGCATTTGACAGGAAAAACACTTAGGTCATATCTCCTGAGACCCTGCTTTGGGGCTAGAAGCATTTCAGACAGTGGAAAGGAAGAAGAAAAGGGAAGTAATAATTACATGCCAACCCAACTTGGTATCAGACACTTTCTTGTTACAGACATAAAACTATGTTATCTTGATTTAATATACACTCTTATACAGGAGTATAAGCTGTAGGAAGTATGAGCTATCTCACTTTACTTTTTTATGTATCCACCCACCAACCCACCCATCCACCCATCCATCCATCCATCCATCCATCCATCCATCCATCCATCCATCCATCCATCCATCATCTACCTATCATCTTTTTGAGACACAGCCACAGCTGGCCTGGAACTTGCTTTGTAGACCAGGCTGGCGTTGATCTCACAGAAATCTGCCTGCTTCTGCCTCCTGAGTGCTGGGATTAAACGTGAGCACCACCATGCCTGGCTGCTACCTCACTTTTAAAAAGGTTCTGAGAGGATGAGTGTCTTGCCTACTATAAAGTCCATTTTTCCCCATTATTCCATAGTAAAGGAAAAAGAAATAAAGTATAAAAAGTGAACTAAAAAATACAGCAAGGGGCTAGAGACACAGTTTAGTAGTTAAGAGCACTGGCTGCTGTTGCAGAGGACCCAGGTTCAGTTCCTAGCACCCACATAGCAGCTAACCATCAGTAATTCCAATTCCAGGGGAATCCGATGTCTTCTGACCTCTGCAGGCATTGCACAACACAGGTGCACTTACATACATGCAGACAATACACTCATACACATAGAATAAAAATAAATAATAAATTTTAAAAAAACAGCAAAATTAGATGTATTGGAAATGAAGTTCCAAGAGGAGTTGAGACATGCTTATGAGGAACTGTGTATATTTAGATAAGTGACTTGTACTGGGAATTCCTTAAATAGTTTGAAATAAGGACAGTATGTGATAGTATCTATGCTTTAAAGGTAACTGCTAACAGTATGAAAGATAAAATAAAAAGGAAGTATGAAGTCAGGGGATCAGGAACAAGATTAAGACCCAAGGAGAAAAATATTAAAAAAAATTTTTTTATTGAATTTTTGTGTATTTCACAGAGAACATCTTAATTATCTTTATACCCCCTTCCGCTCCTTCCCATAGCCCCGAACTGGAATTCATACCTTCTGTCATTTGTGTTAAGGCCTAGCATGTCATGTCAGTGTCCTCAGATGTCCCTCAGTGCAAGTTCATTCACTGGGGTCTAGTCGGCCTATCTAGGGTCCCTCCCTTTAGGAAGATCAGCAATTCCTCATCCAGCAGTAATTAGCTTCTAATAATTCTTTGACTAAGATTGGAGCCTGCTGTCCATTGGAAAAAAATGATTAAAAAAATTTTTTTCAATTATTTTTATTTTATGTGTATGAGTGTATTGTCTGCATGTAGGTAAGTGGACCCGTGACATGCAATGCCCGTGGAGGTCAGAAGGGGCTGTCAGATCCCCTGGGACTGGAGTTACAGACAGTTGTTAGCTGCCATGTGGGTACTGGGATTCGAACCTGGGTCTTCTGCAAGAACAACCAGTGTTCTTAACTGCTGAGCCATCTCTCCAGCCCCCAAAAAGATTATTTTAAAAATTATTTTTTATTTATTTTTATTGTATGTGTATGGATGTTTTCCCTGCATGTGTGCAAGTGTACCCCTGTACACAGTACTCACAGAAGCCAGAAGAGAGTGTTGAATCCCCTGGAACTGGAGTTAAGAATGGTTGTTAGTCACCATATGGGTACTGAGAACTGAACCCGGGTGCTCTGCAAAGGCAGCCATTGCTCTTAAGTGCTGAGTCTTCTCTCCAGCACCCAAAAAGATTATTATTAATAAGCTAGGTGTGGTGGCACACACCTTTAATTCCAACACTTGGGAGGCAGAGGCTGGTGAATCTTTGTGAGATTGAGGCCAGCCTGGTCTACATAGCGAGTTCCAGACCAGCTGGGGCTACAGGGAGATCCTGTCTCAAAAAGACCAAAAAAACATATATATTATTAACAAACCACTGAAAATGAACTGACTGGGTGCTTATGTTGGCATATCAATAATAAACTTTCACATAAGGTTAAGCATTCTTTTGGCTAAGTAGTAATTTTGCTATAAAGTTAAGAATTCTTTTATCAGAACTTCCTTTAAAAAAATGTGTGTGCAAGTGCATTACGTGTGTGTTTGTGTTACAGAGGAATAAACTGGGATTTCACAAATGCTGGTGAAGTGTTCTGCAACTGAACTACCTTTTCCATCCCTCTTTTCATTATTTATTTATTTACTTATTTTGTTTTTAAATTTATTTTATGTGTATTGTTTTGCATGCATGTATGTAAATGTACCATATGTGTAAAATGATGGCAGAGGTCAAAAGAGGGCGCCAGATCCCCTGGCACTGGAGTAATGTATGGATGTTGGCGGCCATGTGGGTGCTGGGAACCAAACCGGGGTCTTCTGCAAGAGCAGCCAGTGCTCTTAACTATTGATTTGTCTCTCTAGCCCCCTTATTTTGTTTTTTTGAGGCAGTCTCACTAAGTAGCTCTGGCTGACCTGGTACTATGTAGACTAGGTTGGCCTCAAAGTCACAGAGATCTTTCTGCCTCTGCCTCCTGAGTGCTGAGACTAAAGGCATGTGTCATTATGCCCAGCTCATTATTTCAAATTTTGAAACAAGTCCTGTATCAGCCTTACAGACCCATGCTACTACACCAGGTTAAAAGATATTCTTTAGACAGGCGTGGTGGTGCACGCCTTTAATCATAGCACTTGGGAGGCAGAGGCAGGCAGATCTCTGTGAGTTCAAGGCCCGCCTGGTCTACATAGTGAGTTCCAGGCCAGCTGGCTGAACTCACTATGTAGACCAGGCTGGCCTTGAACTCACAGAGATCCGCCAGCCTCTGCCTCCCAAGCGCTGTATTTATTTACTTTTATTTTATGTGTATGTGTTGCCTCCATGTATGTAAGTGCACCCATGTTGTGCAATGCCCACAGAGTCCAAAAGAGGGCATAAGATCCCTTGGAACTAGAATTGTGGATGGTTGTTAGCCACCTGGTTTCCAGGAACCTAACCAGGGTCCTCTCTAAGAGCAACCAGAGCTCTTAACCACTGAGCCATCTCCCTAGCCCCTAAAAGATATTCTTAACAGCAAAACAACTATTTAAGTCCTCATCACATTTTTTTATGTACCTTCCTGAATGTGTTATCATACTTCAAAGCAAAACTGTCCTGAGTGAATCAGGTTGAGCCAATTCTGGAACCACAAACAACTCTTTAGAGTATGATGAACTTTAAATATCCCTCCAAATGCTGAATATGACATTGTAATATAAAAACATAAAAAACAAACATCTATACTAAAACAACCAGTAATAGCAGCAACTACTTTCATGACACTGAGATTGTTACTGAGATAGCTGGTAGGATAGAAGGATAGAAGGTAGGATAGAAACATCATGTCTACATACCTCCTTTCACACCAGTGGAGATGAGGATGGGAGGAAGGCCATCTTCAGGAATAAGGTTCATTGCACTTCCAACTGGACTTCCAGCCTGAGTTATACTCCCAGAGAATAGAGAAATATCCACCTAGGAAAAGCAAGCCAGCAATGTGAACATTAGAGTGCATGTAATTAAGAGTACAATGAGAATTTGGGTGAAAAATTTAAATGTATACTTTTAAAAAAAATTATTTTACTTATTGTTTTTATTTTATGTGTATCCGTATATTGTCTGCATGTAGGTAAGTGCACTTGTTCTGCAATGCCTGTGGAGGACAGAAGAGGCTGTCGGATCCCATGGGACTAGAGTTACAGACAGTGGTTAGCTGCCATGTGGGTGTTGGGATTGGAACCCAGGTCTTCTGCAAGAACAACCAGTGTTTTTAACCACTGACCCATCTCTCCAGCCCCTAAATGTATACTTTTTAAAAGATAGCTGAAGATACTTGGAATATTTATAATAGTATAAAGAGATAATCCAACATCCATTAATAGGAAAACATAAATTTTAGTATATTAATAAGGAATATTATACAATAATAAGAATTTTTAGTATATAAAAACATGGATAAATCTCATAAATATTAAGTTGAGCTTATAAAGTTAGACAAAAATATATATTCTATATTGGCATAGGCAAAAATAATCTATGGAGATAGAAGTTGGAAAAATGGTTACCCTGGAGAAGATAGGGGAATAGGCAGGACAGATATTGACAGAAAAAGCGCATGAGACAATTTTTGTGGAGTGAACATATGGCTTACTCTTCCTTCTTTAAACTTTATACATGCAACAAAAAATGGAATAATATATCAGTAAATTAAATTTATTTTTTCCTTTTTGAATTCTGTCCTCTATGTAGCTGAGGATGGCCCTGAACTCCTGATTCTCCTGCCTCTTCTTCATAAGTGTTGGTATTACAGGTGTGTGACACCATACTCAGTTAATTTGGAGGTGGGAATTGAATCCAGGGCTTCATGTATGCTACCAATTACCAATTAAGATACATCTCCAGACTCAGTAGATCTAATTTTTTTTTTTTTTTGGTATTTTTGAGACAGGGTCTCCTTGCAGCCACAGCTGGCTTGGAACTCCCTATGTGTCAGGAGCCACTAATCACTGAGCTGTTGGCAGCCTCGTTTACTGAGTTTGTGTCATGCAAACCAGTACTTAACCTGCCCATTCAGGAGGAAGGTGTTTCTGGAGAGCCTCACAATGCCTGACCTTGAGGCATTAGTGGTAAACAAAA